AACAACCCAAGTGTCCATCAATACATGAGTGGATTAATAAACTGTGGTATATGTATACCATGGAGTACTATTCAGCTTTAAGAAACAATGGTGATATAACACCTCTTATATACTCTTAGAAAGCACTGGAACACATTCTACTAAGCGAGGTATCCCGAGAATGGAAAAACAAGCACCACATGTACTCACCATCAAACTGGTATTAGCTGATAAACACATAAGTGCACATATAAGAATAACATGTATTAGATGTTGGGCAGGGGTAGGGGAGAGGGGGGAGGAGGGGACGGGCATATGCACAAACAATGAGTGGGATCCGTACCTCCGGGGAAATGGACACATTTGAAGCTCGGACTTGGAGGAGAGGGAGGCTAAGGGCATCATACGTAACCTAATCATCTGTACACCCATAACATGCTGAAATAAAAAAAATAAATAAATAAACACAACAATAATAAGAATAAGTAATATTTAGTAGCTGAGAAGTAATTAATAACTAGTGCAGTTAAGTATAATTAGCTGCATATATAATATATGCTATACTAAATTGAAGTCTATATATTAGTCATTTGATTTTGTTTATCTCTTTTGTTCATGTGCAAAGATTTTTGTTATCATTAGAAGAGAATTAACTAAGCAAATACTCTAATGCTGTCAGCAACTGGTGGTTGAGGTTCCCTTTTAACCAGAAAAATATAGAACTGACAATATTAACATCACTTACCAGTATTAGGATATGTGCTGTGCTTTGAAAGATTAACAAATCTACAAAGAGCTAAAGGTAAATAACTTTGACAGTATTAATGCATTTTTGATAGTAACACTAAGAATAAATGTAAGTGGTTGGCTCAAAGTAAATGATTCACCGATGGTAGCTGGGGAAAGAGAGAAGGAACAGCAACCACAGGTGGAGAGGAGGAACCTGCACAGCTAGGTGGATATTTAGGGAAGAGGCCATGTTGGAAATGTAGATTTGACCATTATGAGGCAAGTTAAATACAGGGATTGGAAGAAGTTACCCAGGCATTGTCTAAACTGATGGAATATGTATATAAGGCAAGGCCATGGGAGACACCAATGGTCTAGAGACATGCAGTCAGAGAGGAGCCAGCAAAAGGGAAGGGAGTGGTGGTCACACTTCCCACTTTAAATAACTTTCAGTCTAGGAAGAGGAAGTAAAGACAAGTTCAAAAGCAAATATATGACAAGAATAGGACATTCTCAGAGAGATTCAGCCAAAAATCTAAGGAAGGAAATCAACAGAAAGGATTAGAAGATATATATGGCAAGAAGAAGCCACTTTGTCCAAATGAGGAGTGAGTATAAGCTGAATATGGAGCAGCGTTACAGGAGATTCGGTCTAGAGTATCACACAGGGCCGTCCACGGAAGGCTTTGAATATCAGTCTAAGACTTCATCCCCCTGAATTTAATAAGAACAGATGTATAATAGAATTATGGTATTTTAACCCATAGTTGAAAAATTACATAGGGTTTTCATGTCCATAAAAGTAATTTTTTATTTTGGTATTTGTTATTTATCCTTTCCACCACACTGGAGTAATGCATTTACAATTTATTCCAACTCAAGCACTGTCATTATGAACTCTATATCAGGATAATGGGAATAATTAGATTTTGAATATTTAAAAACATATGTATTCATAAAAATAAAAGTAGTGAATCTTTTTGATGCATTAAAAACAGTTCAGTTAATACATTCCAGAATACTGAAAATTTATATGGGGCAAAGCAAAACCATTCATTTAATTGATCTTCTTTAACATATAATTACATGTGGAAAATAAATTGATTTTAAAGATAGCTTTCTGTAGGAATTTATATTCATATTTAAGGAGAAAAAAAAAATCATAATGTAAGGTCATATTTCTTAAATATTTTAAATTATTATTTAGGATGCGAAATGACCAAGTGACTATTTTAGTTTCCAGGATGTTACCTTAGCATGACACAAATGTGGTTCATAAGGAATTAGAACTAAGAAATACAATTAGTTGTGTGTAATTTATTTTAAGTAATGCCTTTAAGTGAAAATTTGCCATTAAAATCTCAAAGTGAATTTTCTCTTGGCCATAAGGGATATTTCAAGGTAAGTGAAGAATGTGTGTTTTTGCTGTTTTGGTTCTCTGAAATTTTCTCCGCTTTGCTTCTTAATGGCATTAATGTAGCTAGGGGTGTGTTATGTGATGAATTTCTTGGGTTTACCTTTGCTTCAATCTGTTTAGTATCTGGATTCTGAAACAAAAATTTGATTTTGCTCTTGCCATCATCTGAAGAGCCTTTAAGCTGAGAAAACTTATACCTCCAAAGTACAGCCTAAAAGGAAAGAAAGAAACAATGTAAGTCAATATAATTAATATCTCTGCATTCAAATCAGAAATAGTTCTTTCTTTTAAATGGTAAAAGTTAATCATATAAAGTTTGTACTGTCCCAATGTTTAAAAAGTAAATTAAATATGTATTTATCAAATGTTATAGTTTATTATTATTCAATATATCCTTTAATGTCCAGAAATAACACTTACATGCATGAACTAATTATTGTAGAAAATATATAAAATTAAATTGCTTTTAGTATCTTTTCTTATGTGCACATGAAATAAGAACTATTTGTTCCTTTGTTTCTTTTTTTTTTCAATAGAAGCGATAAGGTGATTTTGAATTATAATTCTGGAGCTTTCTCTTGAAGCTCAAACTAATAACCTGTAGCTTTATTGAAATGACATATCAGCTTGAATAAACAATTATGACAGAAACTTACATGGCGCTCTCATGATATGGAGAATAAAACACTTCACATAGCTATTCTCATCAGTCTATCACATCTTTGAAATTACAGCCTCTTTCTGAAACATATTCTATAAATGTTGCCTTTCCAAACAACAAAATGGAGATACAAACAGGTTTAACTGGCAATATATGGACATTGTCTATTATGATTTTTTAATTTTTTTTATTTGTGACCCATAGAAACTGAGATGATTTCTTCTATATTTCTTCTATATCTCTTCTGTATTTCCTTCTATATCTCTTCTATGTTATGAATGTTATTGACTGAGAGCTAATGCAGCACTTTGTTCTTTGGCATGTACAGAAACTAAAAACATGCATTCCCAAAGTACAATATCAAAGATATAAATCATTAAAGTAGAAAACGATGTATGTTTAAACACCATCACACATTATGTAGTTTTTTTTACATTATCTTAACATACTTTAACATACCTAAAAATACAATGCAAAGAAATGCATTTAATAAATTATGATTTCAAAACTTTTTAAAATAATTTCAGGTGGTTTTGAAATAATCAAGAAAACAGCTGATACAGTTGAATGTTTTCTTAGTGCAATCCTGTTTAAGCTATTGTCTCTGATAAAACAGTAAAGAAACATGGCATAGATTATGCATCTCACATATTTTTCAGAATAAATTATAGAAAAAGCATATACAAGGCATATCTTAGAGAGATTGTGGGTTCACTTCCATAATACTACAATAAAGGGAATATTACAATATAGTAAACCACACAATTTTTTGGTTTCCCTGTGCATATAAAAGCTATGTTTATACCATACTTTAGTTTAAAGTGCTCAATAGCATTATGTCTAAAAATGCACATTCCTTAATTAAAAATACTTTATTGCTAAAAATGATAATGATCATCTGGGCCTTCAGTGAGTCATAATCTTTTTGCTGGTGGAGGGTCTTGCCTCGAAGTTGATAGTGCTGGCTGATCAGGTTGGTGGTTGCTGGAGCTTGCGGTGGCTGTGGCAATTCTTAAAATGAGACAATGAAGTTTGCCACATCGATTGACTCTTCTCCTCACCAACAATTTCTCTGTAGCATGTGATGCTGTTTGATAGCATTTTACACCCAGTAGAAGTTCTTGAAAAATTGGACTCAATCTTACCAAATCTTGCTGCTGCTTTATCAAATAAGTTTATGTAATATTCTAAATCCTTTGTTATCATTTCAACAATGTTCACTGTATCTTAACCAGTAGTAGTTTCCATCTCCAGAAACTACTTTCTTTGTTCATACATGAAAAATAACTCTTCATTCACTAAAGTTTGATCGTGAGATTGCAGCAATTCAGTCACCTCTTCAGGCTCCACTTCTAATTCTAGTTGTCTTGCTGTTTTTACACCTGCAGTTACTTCCCCCACTGAAGTCTTCAACCCCACAAAGTCAGCCTTGAAGGTCGGAATCAACTTCTTCCAAACTTCCGTTAACGTTGATATTTTAACCTCCCCCCAGAAATCACAAATGTTCTTAATGGCATCTAGAATAGTGAATCTTTTCCAAAAGGTTTTCAACTGATGTTGCCAGATTCATCAGAGGAGTCACTATCTGTGGCAGCTGTACCCTTACAAAACGTGTATCTTAAATAATAAGACTCGAAAGTCAAAAGTACTCATTGATCCATGACCGGCAGAATGGATGTTGTGTTAGCAGTCATGAAAACAGCATTAATTTCCTTGTACATCTCATCAGAGCTCTTGGGTGACCAGCTACATTATCGATGAGCAGTAATATTTTGAATGAAATCATATTTTCTGAGAAGTAGGTCTCAACAGTGGGCTTAAAATAGTAAACCATGCTGTAAATAGACGTATTCTCATCCAGGCTTTGTTGATTCATTTCCAGAGCACAGGCAGAGTAGGTTTAAACTAATTCATAAAGGCCCTAGGATTTTCGAAATGGTAAATTAGCAATGGCTTCAGCTGAAAGTTGTCAGCTATATTATTAGCCCTTAACAAGGGACTCAGCCTGTCCTTTGAAGCTTTGAAGCCAGGCATTGACTACTCCTCTCTAGCAATGAAAGTCCTAGAAAGCATCTTCTTCCAATAGATTGTTTTTTCTACATTGAAAATCTGTGGCTTAGTGTAGCCACCTTCATAAGTTACTTAGCTAGATCTTCTAAATAAGTCACCGCAGCTTCTGTAGCACCACTTGCAGCTTCACCCTGCACTTCTATGCGATGGAGACGGCTTCTTTGCTTAACCTTCATGAAACCAACCTCTGATAGCTTCAACCTTTCTTCTGCAGCTTCTACACCTCTCCCAGCCTCCATGGCATTGAAAAAAAATTAGGACCTTGCTTGGGATTAGGCTTTGATTTAAGAGAATGATATGGCTGGTTTGATCTTCTATCCAAACCACTAAAACTTTCTCCGTATTAGCAATAAGGCTGCTTTGCTTTCTTATCATTTGTGTGTTCACTGGAGTAGCACATTCGATTTCCTTCAATAACTTTTTTTTGGTATTCACAACTTGGCTAACTGGTGCAAGAAGCCTGGCTTCCGGTCTATCTTGACTTTCATTGTGCCTTCCTCATCAAGCCTTAATCATTTTCTAGCTTTTGCTTCAAAGTGAGAGACATGTGACTTTTTTTTTCACTTGAACACTTAGAAGCCATTGTAGGGTTATTAATTGGGCTAATGTCAATAGTGCTGTGTCTCAGGCCCATATTGAGGGAGAGGGATGAGGAAACGGCTGGCCAGTGGAGCAGTCAGAACACATACACCATCTATTGATTAAGTTCATTGTCTTGTATGGGCACTGTTTGTGTTGCTCCCAAACAATTACAACAGTAACATCAAAGATCACTGATCACAGATCATCATAATGGATAGAATACTAATGAAAAAGTTTGAAATACTGTGAGAATTACCAAAATGCAACACAATGACACAAAGTGAGCACGTGTTGGAGAAACAGCACTGATCGACTTTCTGAATGCAGGGCAGCCACAAACTTTCAATTTGTAAAAAACACAATGTCTGTGCAGTGCAATAAAGCAAAGCATAATAAAACAAGGTGTGCCTGGAAATAAGCGTTTATGGACATGTGAATATATTTACATGGTGTTGTAAAGAGTTATAGTTAAACATATTATGAAAATGAATTTTAAAACATCCTTAGTAACCCTTAAAACCCAGGTTTCTCAATGGCCTCAGCTTCTTTAAGCAGATTATGCAATGGTAAAGTTCTATCCCCTAGCCCAGCAAATTAAAAATTAATCCCTGATATAGTGTCTGTTCTCCTCCAAGGTTACCTCACATTAGTGCTAAGAAAATAAGATTGGTAAAGATTGCAAAGGATATATTTAAGGGTAAATGAAAATGAGTGAATAAGTGTTTCTCTTCAACCAACAATTGCACAGTAAATATTCATTTGCATGAATTTTCCTTGTGGTAATATTCTCAGCTTACATATTCCAGGTTTATAATTAGGAGACACACCCATGGTCTCCACTTGAACATATGTGTTTTTTATGGTCAGATCTAACAATTCCTGACATTCAAATTACAACTTCCACCTTTAATTCAATAAAGGTGTTGGTGGGTTTTTTTTATATGTTTTTGGTCTTTTTGTCATTTTATGAGGAATATGCAATATACCTTGCATATTAGAAAAGTGTCTTGCAAACTAGTGAATATTTTTATGCTTAAATAATTATATTTTTGGCATTATGCACCAAAATATTAGCATTGAAATGAGATCAAAATATAAGAATTAAAGTGACAATAGAGGTAAAAAATATTCTACATAGAGATGACATAAAGTAATAGAATTTGTGCCATGTAGAACATTTTTAAATAAATTAAAACACACATGCACAAAAACACTTGTAGTATTTAGGCTAAATGTCTTAGGTACCCTTAGCTTGACAAATGTGAAGGGATATTTATACCACGCTCAATAAAAAGTTGAAGAAAGGTTCATGCTCCAAAAAACTGTTCCAGTAAGTGCATTACTTCAGAAAGATTTGATGTAGTGTTACTGCAGCATAACTCTTTTCTGGTCGAAGTCAATGTTTTCTGCCATCCTCTTTCAGGAGACACTTTTTCAATTTATATAAGCCTACAGTGTATTACAATACTTTCCCAGATTTGTAGCTAAAAGAATACCTGAGGGGGTGCTAACTGGAGAACATACTTTTATAGCGAAACTCATTTCCTACTAGATCAAAATTCCTCCCGAAGTCTATAAGGTTACTTGACTAAAACCCATCTACCAATATTGCAACAACCGGGTTAGATAGCATACAATCTGCACAAGAGCAAAATCACGAATTAAAAAGTAACCATGCACTTATTACTTAAATATACAGTGACATGGAATGCAGCTAACAAGTACAATGATTTCTGGCAGAGAAATTTTGTTTTCTTTTTTCACATTTGCAGAAAAATTGAGATGATAATCAGAGAGTTCCTCTGCACCCCACACCTAATTTGCCCTGTTATTAATACCTCACATTATCATGGTGCATTGTCACAGTTAATGAACCAATACTGGCACATTATTAACAA